ATATTTAAATGACTTTTCTATTGCCATTGGAATTTAGAGCTCTAGCAGACCAAGAAGTTCATTCGGATTTTGATGAATCAGAGTATGAGGAAATAGTTACCAAGTTAACAGTGATACAACAGGCTATATTCGATAAGCCAATCAAACATTGGCACTTAAAGGCTCTATATGTAAAAGGTTTTATTGATGGGAAGCCGATGAACAAGATGTTGGTGGATGGAGGTGCTTCTGTCAATCTTATGCCTTATACCACTTTTCACAAGCTTGACAAGGGACCATGAGATTTGATTGAGACCGATATAATGCTTAAGGATTTTAGGGGTAATGCATCTAAGACCAGGAGGGCAATGAATGTCGAACTAACAATCGGAAGTAAGACTTTACTCACCACATTCTTCGTTAATGATGGAAAAGATTCATACAGTCTACTCCTTGGTCGTGACTGGATTCATGCAAACTGTTGTGTACCATCGACCATGCATCAATGCTTGATTCAGTGGCATGAAGACGATGTTGAGCTGGTTAATGCTGATGATTCTGTAAGTATCGCAACAGCTGATCCAATGTATTGGGAGTTAGAAGACTTTGAGTATTTTTCTAGCAAGCTATGCGAAGGAGGCTTCATTAAAGTCAATGATGAAAGCCAACAGCCGATCCAAGCAGTCGGCTTTGAGAATTTGTTTTAATGGATAATCCAATAGATGGTACATATGTTAAACTAGGACATGGCTTTACATCGGCCGATGAATTAGAAGAGATAGATATTGGTTCTAGGGATAGGCCTAGGCCGACGTATGTAAGTGCTAAGTTAGATCCTGAGTATAAGCAAGAGTTAGTGGATTTATTAAAGAAATTTAAAGATTGTTTTGCTTGGGAATACTATGAGATGTCTGGTCTAGACCGATCGATTGTTGAACATCGGTTGCCAATCAAACCTGTATATCGACCGTTTAAACAAGCTCCATGGAGATTCCCAAACGTTATTGATGATATCAAAAAGGAGACTGAAAGGTTGCTACAAACGAAATTTATCCAACCGTGCCGATATGCAGAATGGATATCGAATGTTGTTCCTGTGTATAAGAAAAATGGAAAGTTAAGAGTTTGCATCGATTTCAGAGATCTGAACAAGGCTACACCCATGGATGGTTATCCGATGCCGATAGCTGATATGTTGGTAGATGCAGCAGCCGGGCACAAGGTTATTAATTTCATGGACGACAATGCAGGATATAACCAATTTTTTATGGCTGAGGAAGACATAGCAAAAATAGCTTTCAGATGCCCTGGCGTAATCGGTTTATTTGAATGGGTTGTGATGACTTTTTATTTGAAGAATACCGGTACAACTTAGCAGAGGGCAATTAATTATATTTTTCATAAGTTGATTGGCAGGATTGTTGAAATCTACATTGACGATGTGATTGTAAAATCCAAGGAGTACAAGGAACGTCTAGCTGATTTGCGGGAGACTTTGGAGTGTATAAGAAAACATGGTCTAAAGATGAATCCTAATTAGTATGCCTCTAGAGTATCAGCTGGATAATTTTTGGGTTCCATGGTCCACGAGAGAGGAATCAAAATTATTCAAAAAAGTATGAAAGCAATTGATGAGGCAGTGCCCCCGACTACTAAAACAGAGTTACAATCTTTGCTTAATAAGATTAATTTTATCTGGAGGTTTATTTCAAATTTGTCGGAAAGAGTTCTGTCGTTTTCTCCCTTGTTGAAGTAGAAAAATGATCAAGAATTTAAATGGGGGTGACGTACAACAAAAGACGGTTGAGGAGATAAAAGAATATATGAAATGTCCACCTGTGCCGGTCCCTCAGCAAGGTAAGCCTTTTAAATTGTATGTATCGGCCGATGACCAAACAATTGAATCGGCCTTGATGCAAGAGTTTGAAGGAAAAGAACAAGTTGTTTTCTATCTAAGTAAAAGGCTTTTGGACCCAGAAACAAGATATTCTCCCATTAAAAAGTTACGCTTGTGCTTATATTTCTCTTGCACTAAGTTGCGGCATTATTTATTATCGGCTGAGTGTATAGTTGTTTCCAAGGCTGATGTGATCAAGCACATGGTATCAATGCTAATATTAAATGGAAGAATCACTAGTAGAGAACAGACCTTTCATCCGAGGTCAAAATGAGCTCTAGTCCCGGCATTTTTTGCGCCCGGGACTAGAGAGACCTTTAGTCCCGGTTGGAGACACCAACCGGGACTAAAGGTCCCTGCCCAACGGCTACTGCGCTCGGCACAGTGGCAGGGGACCTTTAGTCCCGGTTGGAGATACCAACCGGGACTAAAGGTGGACCTTTACTCCCGGTTGGAGCCACCAACCGGGACTAAAAGTCCTCCAACCTTTACTCCCGGTTGGTAACACCAACCGGGACTAAAGGGTGACCTTTTAGTCCGGGTTGATGTTACTAACCGGGACTAAAGGACCCTTTAGTCCCGGTTGGTAACATCAACCGGGACTAAAGGTCCCTCGATGGGTTAGTTCAAAAGGAAAGCATCCCATCTATTGTTAGATGTGTTGTGTAGGTGGGGTGGTAAGCTACGCGTGAGGCAGTGCATGAGGTCTTGGGTTCGAATCTCACGGGACGCAGCGGTGGGAGGCATTTTTTTTTAAAGCTAGGAGGATCTTTAGTCCCGGTTGTGGCAAACCGGGACTAAAGAACAACATCTTTAGTCCCGGATTGCTAGTCCCGGTTGGGAAACCGGGAGTAGAGCTAGTTCCCAACCGGGACTAGATCTCATTTCTCCACTAGTGAATGGGGAAGTGGATTCTTGTGTTGTCGAAATTTGACTTGAGGTACGAATCGGCTAAAGCAGTCAAAAGACAAGTAATAACCGATTTTGTCACCCAGCATCATAAGCCAAGTATTGGCTATGTAGAGTTGATACCTTGGATGTTATTCTTTGATGGATCATCATGCAAGCATGTTGGTGGCATTGGTATTGTTATTATTTCACCTCGGGGGATAAGTTTTGAGTTTGCTTTTCCAACTGAACCAATGATTACCAACAACCACTACACCACAACACCGCTTCACCGTTAGACATCTAACGTCAAAAATTATATTTGGCGATGGATGATCTGACGCTAAAGATAACTCAGAGGCCATCTGACGCTAAATCCTCATTTAGCGATTTAGTGTTGTCGCTATAGGTATTCATATTTAGCGTTGAACCGTTTGTCGCTAAACATATGTATACCGTCCCTCTGTCTGTCGCTAAAAAATAAGTGGGCCCCACCTAGCTCGAGCACGCCACTTACATTGAGCTCCCGCGCCCAACTTACATCGACCTCGTGCGCATATTTTAGCTGGCCCACGTGTACAGTGAAAAACCCTAGCCCCCAAATTCCAAATCCCAAATCTAGTGAAGTCATCCCACCAGTCGCCCTCTCCCTCTCTCCCCCCACGCACGCTACCCTCCTCTCCTAAGGCCGGATCCACACCGGGGCGACCTCCTTTCACCTCCCACGGCCTGATCTACGCTAGGGCGGCCTCCCTTCAACTTCCTCGGTCGGATCCACGCAGTGGGGGCTGCCCTTCTCTCCCCTCAACTGCATCCGCGGTGTGCCCTCCATTGCTGGTAATGGTGCCTCCATCGACTCATGGCGGGCTACGGGAGGATCCACGCAGTTGGGGCTGCCCTTCCTCTCCCCTTGCCCGGATCTGTGGCGTGCCCTCCATTGTTGGCAGCGGTGCCTACATCGACTCATGGTGGGCTATGGGAAGTATTGGGGCTATGTTCCATGGAGGAAGCCCCACATCGCCAGCCCCGCCTACCTCCACCGTTCTCCGCCCCGTCTTCCCCTCCGTCCCTTCCCCGAGGCTCAGAATCCCCACCTCCAGCAGCCACGGCGTCCACTTTGCAAGAAAGGTGAAGGCAGTGGCTGTGTGCTCACAGGATCCTTTGAGCGTTGCTGTAGGTTAGAGGAACATGCTGATCTCTATTTTGTTCTTCAACTCACAGCTTTGGTCCTCTTGGATCTCTATTCTTTTCTGGAGTTCGTCAGTCACCGTTTGGTCTACAGATCTGCAGGCCGGTAGCAGGGGTGCAGCAGTAGCTCAACTAGATCAACTTTTCCTCTGTGCTTGGCTCATTGTGTTGCCTCTATTTCTATGCTTTCACCCAATAAAATCATCATAGGTTGTACGACCCTTGAGGCATACTGACAGTAATAGCAGTTTGCTAGCGTTGGCTTCAGTTTGCCTATGTTTTGTAGTTCCAGTTACCATTTGATTACCTGATAGCCTAAAAAGGAATTTGCATATAATTTCTGCTGTCTGGCTTAGTTTTGATTGCAAGTTTATATCTTAGTGCTATTATTCATTCAGTCACGTATTTTATTTCTGGGACCTAGCAGACCTCAATTGAGATCCTGGTCTCCTGTTTCTTCTGTAAGCTTGCCCTAAGAGCAGGAGCGCATCCTATTATCGGCCTCCTATAATGGCAAACTTCCATAACGATCACTTGTTATATTGCTAGGAAGTAGAAACTTCCTTGCTAAATCTAATTTGTTCTTTTTGCTGGCAGGTGAGATCTATGGGAACGAAAGGGACTTGAGAGGTTTTCTCTTATTTGGTATTCAATTGTATTATATTGCTAAGGAGAGCCTTATTGTGTATAGCAAACATGTGTAAACTTGTATGTCCTAAGCTCCTGCCACACTGGTTTCATTAATTGCCTATAATAAGTGAAGGTTACTGTCTACTCTATGTCATAGCCAGTTTTATGTCGACACTTCATGTAGGGCCATGCTATGTTCAATTGGTCACCGGTAAGCCTCTTTGTGATGTGAGCCGACGAGCCAGCGGGGGAGCACTAGCAAGATTCTGGCAAACTACGCGTGGATGAGATGAATCCATTTATCTAGCATAGAGCAGAGGTGCAGAGCACGCTGTGCGGGGTGCTGCAGCCTAGGACGGGGCAAGTGGGCGGGAAGATCTTGGCAGTAGGCCTAGGCGCGGTGGCTGCATGGAACGAAATGCCGGCGCGCTACTGCTGCATGCCTAGTGATTATGATTTACAAGAATTTGTATTGGAAGTAATGCTAAGGTGACACTAATGACAAGGAATTACTAATTCTAGAAGTAGAAACAATGTCCCCATAATGCTCTGCTAATGATTCTAGACAAATAGCGGTACATCTTTTCATTGAACCATTGAATATGATATATTAGACTTATAATGTTTTATGTGTGACTGTTGCATAATCTCTTCATCTTGGCTACTGCAGTGTGAGTGCTTATCTGAATCTCTGATTTACTGAGAGCACTATGACCAGCCTAAATTATTACTTTACCGAATCAAGTAATCTTGTGTCAACTCTATGTACAGTGTGCCATTTTAGTATTTTGAGGTGATCTTGACTTTTAGACTTCTATTCAGTACAGTTACAATGCCTCATGCATTTTGGTTTTAATTCATAAGTCTAATTTGGAGCTCTGGCGTACTCCCTGGAATGGTGATTGTGTACTAGTGCTAGCAGTAGGAGTCTAATACTAATATTACTGAACATTTGTTTTCAGTTAAGGCCTGTTGTGGTGTAGTGAGTTGACATAATTTTCATTTTGCCTTGATCTGTGATGCATGACCAATGTTCTTAATTAAACCTATCTGTGATAGGTAAAGGAATGCAAGAAAAAGGAGTGCAACAAGGCATCTAGACCTCTCAAGGGCATTGTAGGTATGTCCTTAAATTTACATTCATCAAACTACGTACAAAACTAGTGACAAATTGTAAAAACCTAGTGACTAAATTCAGCATATAGAAATATATTTGGAAGACAAAACTAGTCTCTTGCTTACTATTTCTAAACAAAGGTGTCTTGACCTTTTTACTGATATTTATACTGTTTTTAAGCTGAAAAGGAGCCTGATTGTCTAGTTAAAGAATAGTAGTATTATTTTCAGATGCCGGGCCTCATTTTAGCAAGCAGTATTATTTTCAGATGCCGGGCCTCATTAGCAAGCAGAAGCTGTTTAGTTAAATTGAATCGGTTGGAAAATGAAATTTAGAGCACAAGCATCTTCCTTTTTTATCTCAGAGCACAGGCGTCTGATGCTCACATGTATGGGTACAAGACTAGTTAAGCAGCAAGGTGCTAGTGGGGAGCAACTACGTCTTGTCCTTGAAGCTCTGAACCTGATCAGGGATTCACGGCAGTGCCCATCAGTGATGCGGGCCTTGCCGACGAGGCTGTGATGTTGGCCCCAAACTTGAAATTTAGTAGTAACTTTAAGACCTGTTTATACTGTATGGTTCCATTCACCAGAGTTTTGCTGAACCACAAATCCATGACCTTGCATTACTGTTTAAATTTTGAACATGAATCTTCACTGCCTCCTTTGTATTGAAGACATGTTTTACTCACTTGTGCAGCATGAAGGATGTTAGCAGCTCAATGGCAGTTGATCACAGTTGACAGCATTAGGTTTGTCAACTCTCTAATCTTCACATTGCAGCAACAACATTAGCTCGACGGTCGCACTGAGCTTTATAGAATGCTTTGCATGTGTGTTGACAGTAGCACTAGATCAATAGCAGCATGTGCTATTTTTCTTATTTAGCCTTTGGTTTAATTTCTCTCTTGTTTAATTAATTAGAGCATTTATTAGCTGGCAGATTAGTAAATTAAATCAATTAGAGCATTTAGTAGCCGGCAGATTAGTAAGTTAATTCTATTATTTCTTTGCTTCCAATGATATATTATTGTCGAAGTGATATTTATGTATATGTATTTTAGGGAATTAGGCCTTCTCTGTTTTGAGAATAACACTTTACATCTTACAGAGTAATACACAATTTTACTACTATAGAAGTGATGATTTCATCTTGTTCCATACTAATATGCTTGGGGTTGGTTGTTTAGTTCCTCATTGGTTGTGATGTACAAGACAAATTGGATGTACAAGACAAATTCATTTGGTGCAACCGAGATCCTAGAGGTGCTCAAGAACTGGCCGGAGAGGAGCATCCAGGTCATCGTCGTCACCGACGGCGAGCGCATCCTTGGCCTCGAGGATCTCGGTTGCCAGGGGATGGGAATTCCCGTTGGCAAGCTCTCCCTCTACACTGCCCTTGGAGGTGTTCTCCCCTCAGCTGTAAGCACTGCTCACAATGCCCCTTCTTCAGTGTTATTACTCCTAATAAACTTGTACTGCTGGACCGCTGGTAGTAGGAAAGAATTGGAATCGATTTGCTGTGTTCTTTTTTCCTCTTCTCTGAACATGGAAAATGATTACTCTGCTGCAGTGCCTGCCGATCATGATCGATGTCGGCACCAACAACGAGACCTTGCTCAACAATGAGTTCTACATCGGCCTCCGCCAGAAACGTGCCACCCCGAGGTCAGCCACTGATCTAATCTGTAGGGCTGTTCTGTTCACCACCTGCAGCTGCACTTGGTGAATTTGTTGTAATCGATCTCTTGTCTGGAATCTGGATTGAGACGTGTTTTCTGTATTGATGGTTCATACAGGAGTACCATGAACTTCTCGAAGAGTTCATGACGGCCGTCAAGAAAAACTACGACGAGAAGGTCCTCACCCAGGTCAGTCTTAGTCGTCGGTCATAGTGGACCAGTCACAGACACTACCATACTTGTTGGTTTTCGCCTTTTTGCCGCTGGCCTTTCTCTGTGTGCCTGCCGACTCCTGAATCTGAAATGCGATGTTCTTGTTGACCTGTGACGTGCAATTCGAAGACTTCACGAACCACAACGCTTTTGACCTACTGGAGAAGTACAGGGAGAGCCATCTCATCTTCAACGATGATATCTAGGTAGCTTATGCAGCTCGGTGTGTTGACAGCAACACCATGGTCCATTGGTCCATGGATGCCAAGTTCTTAAACAGAGGGTGCTGCCTGTTTTGTACTCGTACTTTTCTTTCTATACTGTGCCGATGAATGAACAAAAACGATGCGGGTGGAATTGTTGCAGGGAACAGCCTCCGTGGTCCTGGCAGGCCTCCTGGCGGCGCTCAAGGTGGTCGGCGGGACGCTTGCAGACCACACTTACCTGTTCCTAGGTGCCAGCGAGGTCAGTTGCGATTATATGGTTTGATCTACATTATATACTGCAGCAGTGTTAATTACCTTACCTCTTCTTTCTCAAAGTTTTGGATCACGCACGAGATGCTTTTCTTGGTGAAATTGACATGCTTTTGTTGTCTGCTTGCAGGCCGAGACTGGCATCACCGAGCTCATTGCTCTCGAGATGTCAAAACAGACTGGGTCTCCGATCGAGGAGTGCCGCCCGAAGATCTGGCTCATGGACTCCAAGGGCCTGATCATGGCGTCGCGGATAGACTCGCTGTAGGCGTTCAAGAAGCCGTGGGCGCATGAGCACGAGCCCGTGGCGACACTACTAGAGGCGGTGCAGTCGCTGAAGCCGACGGTGCTGATCAGCACGTTGAAGCCCTTGATCTTCGCGCTATCGAACCCGATGTCGCACTCAGAATGCACGGCGGAACAGGCCTACACGTGGACGCAGGGCCGCGCGGTGTTTGCGAGCGGCAGCCTGTTCCCAACGGTGGAGCTAGACGGGAAGACGCTAGTGCCAGGCCAGTCCAACAACGCCTACATCTTCCCTTGGTTCGGCCTCGGCGTCATCATCTTGGCCGCCATCCGCGTCCGCGACGGCATGCTGCTGGCCGCCTCTGAGGCGCTGGCGGAGCAGGTGACGGAGGAGCACTTCGCCAAGGGCCTCATCTTCCCGCCCTTCACCAACATCCGCGCCATCTCGGCCCACATAGCCACCAAGGCCTATGAGCGCCTGCCACGCCTCGGCGACCTCGTCAAGTATGCGGAGAGCTGCATGTACACCCCCACCTACCGTAGCTACCGGTAAGGATTAGGACCATGGCTGGGGGCTACGACTGGCGCAAAGGAAAGGAAACGGGTGAATTATTATTACAGATAGACTATAGAGTGATGAGTGAATAAAAAGTTGAGCTGATGATTGTTGCAGCTAGAGGAGTGAGTTTACATATATACGTTGATTTCTACTGTATTTCATCTTGTTCCATACTGATGTACAAGACAAATTCATTTGGTGCTTGATTTTGATGGATGTGATGTACAAGACAAATTGGATGTTATATGTATTGAGCTGCATGTGATATGTGTTTGTGTATCTTCATGTGACATGTGGACACTATATGAGCATTGAATATCATTTTGATATGTGCTAAAAATTGTATTTTTTTCTATATTAAATTGTTCTGTTGAACAGTCTGTCGCTGTAAATGTATGGAGTGTTAGATGATCTGATGGTGAATGTGTGGTAACAGATTATCTATTGCTAAAGAGTGGCAACAGGCTATCTGTCGCTGTAAATATTCACTGCAATAGACTATCTGTCGCTAAAGATTTTTAGCGACAGGATTTACAGCGTCTGCGCAAGTCTGTCGCTGTAGCTGCTTTTAGCGTCAGATCGTCCATCGCTAATCTTGATGTTGTGGTGTAGTGAACCAAGCAGAATATGAAGCTATTCTTAAGGGGCTTCGACTTCTTCATGAAGTAAAGGCCTAGGCAATTAAAGTATTTGGAGATTTATAGTTAATTATGAATCAGTTGATCAGCCTATATGAATGTAAAGAAGATACTCTGAAGGGTACTATGATGAGTACCAAAGGTTGCTCAAGGAATTTCCTCATGTCTCGCTTCAGCATATTCCGAGAGCACAGAATCAAGAGGCTAATCGTTTAGCTCAAAGTACGTTAGGTTATCGAGTGTTTCAAGAGGTTTTACGTAGTGAGATCTCGAATAATGATTGAAGAGTTGAAATAGCCGATTACCTTAAGAATCCATCACAGAAGGTTACCAAGAGGCTAAGGTATAAATCGACTAAGTACGTTTTGCTAGATGATTAGTTATATTACAAAACAGTCGATGGGGTGTTGCTTAAATGCTTAAATCAAGAAGAAGCTAAGGTATTGATGGGTGAAGTACATGAAGTGATATGTGGAGCTCATCAGTCGGCTTATAAGATGAAATGGATTATTCGCAGGACTGGATATTTTTGGCCAACAATACTAGAAGATTGTTTTGAATATTATAAGGGGGTGTCAAAACTATCAACTTTTTGGTAATATTCAGAAATCGCCCGCATCGGCTATGAATCCAATAATCAAACCATGGCCGTTTCGAGGTTGGGGAATTGATTTAATTGGCTAGATTTTTCCGCCTTCAAGTAAAGGACATAAGTTCATATTGGTAGCAATGGATTACTTTACTAAGTGGGTTGAGGCAATTCCTTTGAAGACGGTAACCTCAAAGAACATGGTTGATTTTGTCAAGGAGCATATTTTGTATCGTTTTGGGATTCCTCAAACTATCACTACCGATCAAGGGACAATGTTCACATCAGAAGAGTTTAGAGATTTTGCTGCCAGTATGGGAATTAAGTTGTTAAATTCTTCTCCTTACTTTGCTTAGGCTAATGGCCAGGCAGAGGCGTCCAATCAGATTATGATTAAGCTGATCAAGAAAAAGATTGAAGAACAGTCAAGAAAGTGGCATTCAACACTTAATGAGGCACTATGGACATATAGGATGGCCTGTCATGGATCGATTAAAACATTACCTTATGAACTTGTGTATGGTCATAATGCAGTCATTCCTTGGGAGATTCAAACTGGATCGAGACGTGTCATATTGCAAAATGATTTGTCTGCCGAAGTCTACAAGAATCTTATGATAGACGACTTAGAGGACTTGAGTTGCCATCGGCTGCGTGCTCTTGAGAATATCGAAGCCAATAAACTAAGGATTGTAAAGTATTACAATAAAAAGGTCAAGAGCAAATAATTTTCTGAAGAAGACTTAGTCTGGAAAGTGAAATTGCCAATCGGGTCAAAGGACAGCAAGTTCGGCAAATGGTCACCTAATTGAGAAGGACCTTATCGGATTAAATGTTGTGCGCATGGCAATGCTTATATTTTGAAAACACTAGGAGGAAAAGAAGAGTTTGACAGAGCAATCAATGAAAAATATCTAAAGAAATATTTTCCTAGCGTTTGGATTAATACTTGATAGCCGATTTATTCGGTCATCAGCTCTAATAGCTGATACCAGAAGGGTATCGCCTCTAGTTCAAAAATAAACCCGAAGGGGTAAAAGCCGGTACGATACGTATCACCTATAGAACAAGAACAAACACATATTGGTACATGGAATATGAGTACAAGAAACCACTTAAATCGAAGAAATTGTTTGCTAGCTTCTCCTATTACAAGCTAAAGGCCGGGAAACACTTTATTCACTATGTCTTTGGCCTAGGAAGCAAGGGCTACGGAGTTGGCGGCATTGAAGAAATCCTTGACCAGGCGCTCATGATTCTCAGGGTGTTCGATGGCTGGAAAACCATGGGGAAGAAGTCGAAGCTCATGGCCAGAGCGAGCTTGCGCAACAGCTAATGCCATGGCAGTACCATGACGAACACCGTGGATAGCAACCTCTCTCACGTGGTTTGGGACGTCGTACAAGCGAACCACCGGCATGGCACCCCTGGCGTTGACGAATCCTGCTGCATACTCTACAGCTGATCAAAGGCTTTCCAACTGGGCCGATAGATCTAGAAACATTCGAGGAAGGGATGATCAAGATCTTGAAGAAAAAAACTAAGAAGAGACAAAAAAAATTGCGGTAGGCATCTCACCCTTGATTCTGGCCTCGGCCTTGGCCAACCTCTCCTCCACCTAGTCGGCCTCGGAGGGTGATCGACGCTGAACCAAGGTGGTCAGAGCCGATTTCGTGATGGAGATGCAGTCGGCGAGCTTCTGGCTAGCCCGATCGATGGATGCGATCAGATCGTCGTTGCCGATTTGCTTCCTCGAATAGCAGGGGAGCAGGCGGCGAATCATTGATGAAGACGACCTCGGAAGTTGAGTGGAGTTGGCCCTATGATCCGAGACGATGGGAGCATCCTGAGTTGCATCCTCTTGATGACGAAGACACTGGCGTGGTGACACAGACCCATCAAAGGCCTCTTCAGCAGACCTCTAGCCTTAATCCATGTCTTTGAGCCTATGGAAAAGCAAAATCGCACCAAAAGAACATGGAAGGTTTGGGACAAACTAGGTTGTTTTTCGATCCATAGCATTGGCCCATATATATTGCCGGGGAGGTGAGAAGATAGGCTTCGTTGGGGTTATGGAATTAAAGTCAGTTATGGAAATAGATCAACACTCCAGAAATTTAGGGGACAGATCACGAAGAAACAGCGGATTCGGACTTATTGCTTCCCATAATTACAAGATACCAAAGGTTTACATTAACTGACAATCAACCCACTAGGACTTCTTTGGATTGAAGGGAGTCCGGATCCCCACAAGGCCGAAGGTCATCATGGACCGAGCCATATCGGCCTGCTAATAGAAGTGCATCAGGGTAGAGAAAAGGTCGTCTGCTTTAAAGATATCCATATATCCAACCGATTCCTCGGTGGCTGGGAAACAATGGGAAAGAAAGCCGCCTGCTAAAAGACACCTATTTCTCGGTGGCTGGGAAACCATAGGAAAGAAGTATGTGGTTTCCCCGATGAGCATTTGACAAGGCGAACAAGGGAAATGTGTCGACACATTTTATCCCTTGCAAACACTAGAACAACTCTGTAATTATGGTGAGAAAACTCAGGTGATGTCACAAGAGTTCTTCTAACCGCAGTGGCTGATCCTCTTGCTCGACAAGGAGCTAAAATGAGCGATACAATCACCCTATGCATAAGAATTCTTCTAACCACTCAAGACCCTCATAACAAGGAATTAGACCATGGAGGGTCTAGCGGAGCCAAAGGCACTTGAGAAAGCAAGCAGAAGAGAAACATAACTGAGTTGTTGAGTTGCTCTTGCCAGAGTCGAATAGACATTTATAGTCGATTTGGAAAGATGAATCCAAGCGCCCGTGAGACAATGGTGTTCCTGTGAAGCTTTGAAGCATAGGCTCATAAGCAGGCAAGGACGGTGGCAGATAGTAGGCTCCAGATAAAGATTCTCTATCCGTGACTATGAACCTATCGGGGGTACGGACGTGGTAATTTTGAAATAAAATTACTTTTATCCCAAAATTGGGGGGCATATGTTTACACCAAAATTTGGGAAGAAGAACGCAGGAACTCGAAGCTTTCAAGATTATGTCATCAAGGAATCGATTGCATAAGGGTCGATATCAGCTGATTCAGATGTGGCACTGGAATTGGCTCTCTTTGAATGACGTCAGCAGATAACGACAATGAGCTACGGTTGGCGTCGGGAAATACATGTCGGTCTCTAAAAAAGAAAAAGATTAGGGTCCAAGTTATCTTAAGTTAGGAATATTTTCTTTTATACCAAAGATTATAATGAATCGTACTTAAGTAGGATTCGTGCTTAGGCTCCGGGTATAAATATTAGACCCATGCTATTGTAAAAGATCATCCAATCAATCAATACAAATTACTTTTTTGGCTTTACGCCAACACTTAGGAGTAGGAGTAGTGTAGATTTCGGCGAGTTCTTCAATAAGCAGGGCTGCATCGGTCCGGCTAACCTCCGGCTTGTCTATAAGTACCATCATGGCTTATACTTCTGTTTGTACGACTGCATCGGTTAAGTTCGACCTCCACTGCGAACTCTAGTATAAGCTAGTTATCAACTCTTATCTAGTTCAAGTACAGCTGCATCGGTTAAGTTCGACCTCCACTGCTCGAATTAGATTAAGGTCAAGTTATCGACTCTACCTAAGGGTGGCGTCCTTCGGGTAGATTCATTAAGTTACCGATCTTGCTGATGTTCTTATTGTTATTAGTTTTCAGCAACATTAACCTGCCCGGTCGAGATCGATCTAGATCGGCCTCATATCCTTTTAGTC